GTTTGAAATATTTTATATTTATCAATGATTTTCGTAGCTTTTATGGACATGCTACGACTATAAGCTATAAAGTTATATAACATCCGACTATATTGGTTAATATATAAAATAGTTCAAACTACTAAAAAAACATTGTCACGTCCTTATAACAGTATATATGCGGTATATGTTTTCCCTCTATGATAGTAGGTATAAATTAAGCACTAAAAACGTAAAGCACTAGCAAAGTACTAGTTTTAGCGCAGTAAAGACTAGTTCATCCGTAGGAATTAAGCACTAAGTACTATTTGCATAGTGCATACAACTACTAAATAAAGTTAGTGTCTTGAAAGTTTAGCGAAGGAAAATTGCTCCGCCTGGATTCACTACGCCTTTCTTGTGGTCTGCCTTGCGTTTTCCACACGGGTCATGGGCTGGCCAATCGTGCTCAGTATTGTGCTCGAAGTCGTAGAACACCGATGAGGCTGACAGGAATGGACCATACTTGTGCCAAGCTATTTTGTTTGGTGCTAATCCTGCGCACTTGGGAGCGACGTTTTTAATGTTTTTACAATCAATGAGGCCATTACGTTTTCCAACCAAACTGCCTATAGATGCACAGGAAAATAGAAAAACAAAATCATCTTTTTGTACAAGATAAATCTAATTCATAGATTGATATAGAGTTATTTCGTACGAAAAAAGTTAGTCTTTACAATAAATGAGGCCATTATGTTTTACAACCAAACTGCCTATATACAGAGAAAAATACAAAGACGAAATCAACTTTTTTAGTACAAGATAAATCTAATTCATAGATTGATATAGAGTTATTTCGTACGAAAAAAGTTAGTCTTTACAATAAATGAGGCCATCATGTTTTACAACCAAACTGCCTATATACAGAGAAAAATACAAAGACGAAATCAACTTTTTTAGTACAAGATAAATCTAATTCATAGATTGATAGAGTTATTCTGTAAGGAAAAAATTGATAAACTTGTCGCCGTTGGGAAAAGTCTTGCAAAGGAAGAATGATAACTTACCTCCATTTGGTTTACAGACAATCCAGTCATTGATATTTGACTTCACCATGAACTCGTGCCCAATCTCTCGCCACAAGTTAAAATCAACTGCGCCCGCAGACCATTCATCCAGCGGAGGTGTGGTGGACACAGGGACATTCGCCTCGCGGACAGGCCAGCTTGGACGGGGGGTGACCGCGTTTGTTTTGGAGTAAAAGTCGTTGAAATTGGTGAAGGTGTAACTATAGACCAATGTCCAACCTCCTCGATGCGTTTTCATGTCGCAGTACACTCCAAATGCATCATGGTAAGGTGATGGCATTGGTTTGATCCAATAGACGCCCGACGTGGAATTTGGATTGCGCAATAAGATATCCCGACATGACTTGGGAAGGATGTTACTATGGGCTATAGATGATAATAGTATACACATGAAGACTTTGGTTATGTGGTTATATTCAATTTGGGAAGCCATTATAGTTGGGTTTTAACATGAGTACTCTTTTTTATTTAGATGGTGAGACAATTATGATAATTATATTATGTATTATATAGGTCTATAGTTTTTTTTTATATGGAGGGAAATATATAGATTGAAAGACTTTCACGGACGAGAAGTTTTTCTGTGGAAGAACAGGATGAAATAATTTTGAAATCATCAAGAGAAGCTGTGTGGCCGGAATTGTTTAGATGTAAAAGGATGCTAGTGAGTTGGGGACTCGAGCTCGTTAAGGCAGAAATACCATGGTGTTCTGAGTGTTTCTTATTTCTATAAATGTCAGCATGCACCTTTGAAGTTGACCACCATTTGCAGCCGTTTTAACGTTTTCGTCAAACTTGTTGATTTTAACATAACCTCTTGAGGCAGTGTATGTTCGGTTCATGATCTGTACTTACTTTCCTTTATTTTCCGTTCCAAATCTTCAATTTTCATCTCAAATTGATTGGTGGTTTGTTTCAATTCTGAAGTAAGGAATGACACGCTTTGTGTGAACTTACATATTCTTGAAATCTGCTGTGTTGGTGTAATGTACTCAGGCGAATAAGATGTTTGTGTGATGTTACTCTGAGTGTATATCCACACCGGGCAGGCTTGAAAAATATGCCTGGCCACGGCGGGATTCGAACCTACGACCTTTGGAATACTCTTCGCAATGCTCTTCCAACACTTTAGATTACACTGATATCGAAGGAACTAGACTCAGTTCCGAAATATCGCTTACTCGAACCGTCCTGACCGCGTAGCTCAGTTGGAAGAGCATTGGGCTAGTATCCAAAGGTCGTAGGTTCGAATCCCGCCGTGGCCAGGCATATTTTTCAAGCCTGCCCGGTGTGGATATACACTCAGAGTAACATCACACAAACATCTTACATATTCTTGATTTCCAGTGCTTTACACTGGACCCTAGCTAACCGTTACTCCTGACCAACTGAGTAGCTCAAATGGCAAAACATATGGCTGACATTTACTGGAGGTTTGTGTGTAAAAAGAGCATGCATATTGCGAATTGCCATGCTGGGAGACCCAGGTTCAATCCTTGGTGGGACCTTTACCACAGAATAAGGCACACAGAAGGGCCACTTACATCGGAAGCTTTGAAGTTTATGTCACCCTGGCCGCCATCTTCCTAGCCAGTCGATTCCATTTTCTGGCCAATAAACGCGCTGTATTGGCTGAAGGCCCCGCCTTCTGGCCAGTCAACTGCATATTTTTGCATAGAAAAATGGCGACACGTTGCACCGCTGAGTGGCCCTTCTGGTACTGATCTTTATTCTGTGCCTTTACACAAGGTCTTCAAATTTTTGAGGAGAAAATGCTGCGTTTATTTTGAAATTATGTAAATGGTAGTTAGACTTTCGCATGTTCTCGGATAAGGACATTAAAATTGTAGGTACCTCGTATCCCATATCAATTGGGCAAAGCTTGTTGGGAAATTCGCTAACCAATGAGGGGGGAGGGGGGGTGAATAGGGGTATACAAATCCGCCGATTTGAAGCAAAATCCGCGATCCGAGCCAAAATATTAGATAAATCCGCTATCTGCTGTATTAATAAGATCCGAATCCGTGTAAAACATTCGCCAGATCCGAAATCCGGACAATTTTTCCTGTGAAATCCGACGATCCGGAAACCTATTCATCCTCCCTCAATGAGTGAGGAACTTGATAAACAATTGGAATTGCATTTTATTCTCACATTAACCAACCTTTGTAGAGATTTGTTATTTCCTTTTCGTCCACATGGACTCTATTTAAAATTTTTTTACTCTGAAAAAAAGAATAGGAAATAAATATATGATTGACTACCATCTACAATTAGTACTTTATACATATCACATCCCATCTTCGTCCTCTTGGCCGCGCGCGACCTCATGAACATAGATATAGGAGATCTAGATTGCTAACGCATACCTAGCGCAGGCGGGGCCTACATGATAAATCCAAGATGGCGGTACAAGAGGGCAAAAAGACTATAGATTCTATTACGAAAATCAAGATTTTTGCATTTTTTGCCGTCGCATTGTTTTGAAACTTATTCGGTCAAATTTTATGGTAAAGAGAAACGTACCGCGAAGATTTTGAGCATATATATGATTGAATTGGATGAAAACTCGCAAAATTATCCAGCGATAAAAGTTCGTGTGAAATGGTCAGTTGGTCAGTTGGAGCGTTTTATTGCCAGAAATACTGTGCTATGTTAACATCTAGTCTTGTGAATGGTGTTTTATACTTGCATCTTTCATCATCATCTGCTCTGTCCTCATAATTATGAAAAATGAACTGTTATGTACCCCCCCCCCCTTCCTTGCTTGTTAGAGAAGTAAACTGATGAGAGCACTGGATAAGGGTCTATCATCTATGGTCTGTTATAATTTGCTTTCTATGCAAATAGTGAGCAAAAATTAAAGCAAAACTGTACAAGTTACATATATAGTACTATATCAGTACTATACACGAACTTTTATCGCTGGATAATTTTGCGAGTTTTCATCCAATTCAATCATATATATGCTCAAAATCTTCGCGGTAAGTTTCTCTTTACCATAAAATTTGACCGAATAAGTTTCAAAACAATGCGACGGCAAAAAATGCAAAAATCTTGATTTTCGTAATAGAATCTATAGTCTTTTTGCCCTCTTGTACCGCCATCTTGGATTTATCATGTAGGCCCCGCCTGCGCTAGGTATGCGTTAGCAATCTAGATCTCCTATATCTATGCTCATGAACGAGTGAGAATGGCTTTCTACCTGTGTTTCTGTGGCGATGGCGTCCCACTCTGATCCATTCGACAGATAGAGTTTATCGACGTCTTTACTATAGGATAGCAACCCTTGTATTGAAGGCAAGTCCTTTAGATCTTTCGTCTGCTTTACTTTGACAACCTAGAAAAAGTTCCACATTTAGTATTGCGTGTACTGTAGTTTTAATAGTATAGGGCCCAGGATTTGCAGGAATCATGGCTGTATTGTGGCGACGACAATTGTTCATCTTCTGGCGACGACAGCTGTTCATCTTCTGGCGACGACAATTGTACGAAGGCCGGATAACGCTATTCACTGGATGGTGATTTTTTCAACCGTTGTAAAGACACTTGAAAAACTTTAAAACTACAAATGTGAAACCCGGAATAAATAAAAAGACCATATAATTTATAAATACTAAAGTTTCACTGTAATTTTTCAACCTGATGTCAAGAAAACAGCAATTTATATAGATGAAACAAAATCCTTCGCACTGAATTCATTCAGATGTCGCGAAAACGGGAAATAAGTCGCTTCGTAAAAAGTTTCACTTACCCCATCAATGATACTTGGAACTCCTTTCTCAGCACAACTTCCCTTTAAGAAGATAAAAAAAAACAATTTCACACTCCCGATTGACATTGAGATTAGCCTACATTCCTCATTTTGTTGAAAGCCAAATACATTGACTGGTACTAATTGTTATCCCTCTCTTAAAAACTGTCAATTGACTGCAGATGGTGCGGCATAGTAAACCCACCTAGTTCTCACTTTTCTAATATTTTTCATCATTTTCCACGCACCTTTGTAACAATGCCGGTTCTTGCATTGATGAAATGTTTCTCCATATTTCCCTCTGGAGTTTTAATTTCAAACTCGACACACCGGTTCCAAACAGGTTTCCGTGGTGGTGAGGTACGCACCCAGAACCACGCGTAAGCATTCTTGGTGACAGTTCCACCATTCACTGCTTGACATGCTGGCGAACAGAAGTCGCCTGTCTCGCCTTCAGGACCAAAACATGCACAACACTAATGGTGAAGAAAAAGTTATAACTAGAAGTTACTATCGCAAGTGAAATGTTGACTTAAAACCATTACCATGGAAAAGATGTGCTACATGAATTGGAAACTGGAGGCAGTTTTTTATAGAGTCGAACTAGCCCGGTGAGCAGGAAAATCTGATATTATAAATAAATATCACTTCTTGCAGTTTTTTACAAGATCACTCCAACGGGTGAAGCTACCAGATTGGAGTGTCCAAAAGTCTGTGCAGTAAATTACATTATTTTACTTTCAATGTCTAAGTGCTGTGGACTAAAAAAAATCAGGAAGCTTGCATTTATTTTTGTTAATATATATGCTGGTGCACTAGTGGGCTTAACTTGCGTCAAGATTTTCATGCTTCTCGCATGAGAATAACAGAAGAGATGAAATTGTAGGTCAACACGAGTTTAGAATCCCCTATTCAGTTTGAATTTATGCCTTCAACTGTAGATATAATTACCATACCTGTCCATGTTCACAGCCAAAGAACGCCGTGGATCTGTCAATCAAGCCTGATCTTGGCGAGACTGTGCTGTAACTGGAACGACAAAGAAAATTTCATGAAACATTCAAGAACGCGATGGAAACGCAGGCTATACACTAGCACAATAATTCTGTACAGGAAACAGACCAACCTCGCAAACCAAACCTGCAATGAACCTGTTTGCGACGTTGAAAGCTTGCAGGAAATCAGTTCACATATTTTGGCCATGGTCGTTTGGGCAGCTTGGTAGTTTTGAAATATGTCTTTACTGACCAGGCCTTAAAATATCTTTTCCAGGGCCGTCTGACAAAATGCCCGGTGACGTTGAGTTTGGGTCGGACATATGTCCGATGACTTTCAGTTCAGTTTTGACTCGGAAATAAGTCTGAATGACACAAATGAATAAACGGTAAATGTTGTAAAGATATTAAATAATTTCTTTCATACTTATTTCCAAGCCAAAATTAACTCACTTGCCAGAACAGCAGTGTTAAAAAAGACTTCGACAACTTAAGCCCGTTTTCCACTTCACCATTTCGCTCGCCGCCCCGCGCTCGACTACGTTAAAACAACATTTCCAGTACACCTTTTATACAGTAGTACGTCGGACAAAGCTACAGTTCGGTCGGACACCAATTCACTCGGGTCGGACAAACAATAAACCTCAGTTTCACTTTGGTCGGACAGAATGTCCGGTGGTTTCCTCTCTACGTCGGACAATTTCACGAACGGGTCGGACAATGTCCGGGACCGACCGATATTTTAAGGCCTGCAGTTTACTGTTACCTGAAAGAACCGTAGTTGTCATATCGTGTTGAATCACCAGAAAGGTACGCAAATCCTTGCTTACAAGGGGAACGAAAGCATTCGTTCATCTTTTGCTGAAATAGAAATCAATTATGTAACAAAACCAATGACAAACTACCACTACTTTTTTCTTCCTCTGATAAATTGGTTCAAACATTTGCTGCAAAAGTGAGGCAAATTTTTTTTCAAAATTCTCTACTCACCCAGCCAAGTTTCGACGGATATGTTGGTCCAAATTGAGAACAGTTAAAGTTTTCAGTAACCACTACATCAGTCATTAAGTCTTTGACGTACTCAATATCTCCAATGCCTGGGTAATATATAGAACATCCTCCGTTGTGGTTGATGAACAGTTCCGACAGTTGCCGTGGAGGGGATAAATGGTACATCCTGCATAAAGAATTTTGTAAGTGTGGTTTTGGTATATGTGGCTCTGGTATCCCCTGTTTAGTGTATACATAAAAATACTTCTTACCAATCCGCTTTCGTATCATTCATGTCAGGACTTGTCGAGATTTGAACTCTGAATTCCGTGATTTTAACCTTACCAAACGAGCTTGACCAATGAGGGTTCGCAAACGGGGAGACTGGGTCGGAATTCGATGACAATTGCCATGAAATGGGGGTGTCTGTATAGCCAACCAACATAAAGCCGCCTGTACTGGTCTTGAAATCGCACCACACCTATGGAATATTAAGAAATAACGGCACTGTTGAGTACACAACCGAGGCAAAGTGCCCCCCCCCCCCCAATGGTCTTGGCACCTTTCTTCTGAACCTTGAGGCACGCCTTTGAACTAAGTTGGTCTTTTGTTGCACTGGATCGGTGACCAGATAATATTTCTTATGTGAGAAAGTTCCCTGGGTTATTACGCCACTTACAATCTCGTAAATCCTCGACTTCAAACAAATCATTTCCAAATTTTTTTACCTTGGTTTTATCTTTCAAGTCCTCGGAATCAATCCAATAAAATCCATCCTTCGCTTCCTTGTTCTTCTGTGCGATGTCGGAGCAACTTTCAGCCGGATTAACACGTTCTCCAAGCGATGAAAAATACTCTTTAACAAACGAAATAACGGCTCTATCAGTTCTAAACTGTTCTCCCTAGAGGCTATGAACTGTAAGACACATCCCTTCTTGGTCGAAACAGGAGGAAACCGACTAGTTAGAGAAGATCTACACGGAGGTGTTTGGTAGAGTCAGACTGGAAACATACGATGCAGGTAAAATTGTAATGAGACAACAGCATATTGTAGGAATTAAAGTTTACCTCAGAGGAGATGAAAGACATACACTAACTACTGTTTGGTCAACATCCTGCTCTATGTGACACAGCCAACCCTAAGTACTGTTTATGACACAGCCTCCACCACTACCCACCCCCACTACACAGTTTATTATAACTACATGCGACCCCCCCCCCCCCCCCCCCCCC